CTGGAAAGAGAAAGAGATATCAGCATCGTGTAAAATGGTACTCCCTAATCAGTCCGTTAATCAAGAAAATGGGAGAACTTGTGCACTTCTTAATAACATCTTGAATATCCATAAAACCTTCCCTTATGCATCCCAAGAGGAGCGGAATAGTAAAGGATAATTGCTATGGTGTCTTTTCGGTGCGGCTGAGTGGCGGGCTTGTACTTAGCGAGTGGAAGAGAAGGAGGAGAGAGGAAGAAAGAGGAAGAGAGGAAGAAGAGAGCCGCGGCGGGCTTGTACTTAGCGAGATGAGAGAAGGAAGAGAGAGAAGAAGGAGGAAAGAGGAAGAAGGAGGAGAGAGGAAGGAGGAAGAGAGGAAAGAGGAAAAGAGGAGAAGGAAGAGAGAGGAAGAAGGAGGAGAGGAAGAAGGAGGAGAGAGAAGAAGGAGGAAGAGAGGAGAGAGAGAGGAAGGAGGAGAGAAGAAGAAGGAGGAGAAAGGAAGAAGGTGCAGAGATGAAGAAGGAGAGAGAGGAGAAGAAGAGGAGGAGAGGGAGAGAGGAGAGAGAGAAGAGAAGAAGAAGAGAGAAGAGAGGAAGAAGGAGAGAAGAGGAAGGAAGAGAGAGGGAGAGGAAGAGAGAGGAGAAGGAGGAGAGAGAAAGAGGGAGAAGGAGAAAGAGAGGAGAAGAGGAAGAGGAAGAAGGAGGAAGAGAGGGAGAGAGAGAGAGAAGGAGAGGAAGAAGGAGAAAGGAGAGAGAGGAGAAGAGAGAGAGGGAAGAAGAGAGAGGGAGAAGGAGATGAGAAGAAGAGGGGCAAGATAAAGGACGAAGGACGGGAGGGAAAGGGAGACGCAAGGATAACAGATAGGAGAAAGGGCGGGGAGGGAGAAAGAGATAGAGAGGAGGGAGAAGGAGAAAAGAGAGAAGGAAGGACAGGGAGGAGAAGGAGATAAAGAGGGGGAAGAAGGAGAAAAAGGAGGGAAGGGGAGGAAGAGGGAGAAAAGAAAGAAGAAAGGACGGGGAGGGAGAAGGAGATGAAGAGAGGAGGGGAAAGAGAAAAGGGAAGAGGGAGGTAAGGAAGGAGGGAAGGAAGATGAAAGAAAAATGGGAGGGAGGTACGGGGGATAGGTGGAGGAAGGAAGGAGGAGAAGGTGGAATGAGGAAGAAAATAAAGGAAGAATAGATGTATGGATATGTACATGTGTGTGTGTGTGTGTGTGTGTGTGTGTGTGTGTGTGTGTGTGTGTGTGTGTGTGTGTGTGTGTGTGTGGTGTGTGTGTGTGTGTGTGTGTGTGTGTGTGTGCGTGTGCTGTGGGTGTGCGTGTGGGTTGCGTGTGGGTGTGCATGTGCATGTGCGTATGCGTGTGCGTGCGTGTGCGTGTGTGTTCGTGCGCGTGCGCGTGCATGTGCGCGTATATATAAGTGTGCGTCATAAGCTCTACTATACACATATCACAACTTCCAAGATGCAATGAATCCAATACTTTCACCGCAAAAAAAGAAAAAAAGGAAAAATAGAGCAGCCGTTTGCAAACAAGTTCTCATTCAAGGTGAACGGGGTATGTGTGTAGGTGCGTATGTGTGCATGCGTGTAGGCTCAAACGCCAGCTCTCGTGTCAAGTGCGCACCGAGTCTGTGCCAAATGTACAGGTCATGTTTTTTTATGATTTCTCTCTCTGCCATTCGGAGAGTTCGAGTTACATGATTTGTATTAAATACAGATTGAAAGAAAGAAGGAAAGGGGGGATCGGAAGAAGGAATGAAAAAATATATTACTCTTTGTTTATTTTTACTCGAAAAGAAAAGCGATGTCTCCGGTAATTAATCTTTTCATCGTCTAATTAACACCGAGAGATTAAAAGAGGGTGTTTAAAGGGAAGGAAGACTTGTGCATTTGACAACAGGATGGGCGAAAACAAAGCAGGAAAATGGATATAAAAAAGAGAAGGAGGAGGAGGAGAACATGGAGGAGGAGGAGGAGATGGAGGAGAGCGAAGAGGAAGAGGAGGAGGAGGAGGAAGGAGGAGGAGGAGAGATGGAGGAGCGAAGAGGAGTCGAGGAGAGAGGAGGAGGAGTAGCAGTAGTAGGATAAACAGTATAGTTAAGGCATTAACAACAATAACAATGATTGTGATTGTGATAATAATATTCATGATCCTACTACTACTACTATTAATGATAATAATAATATTTATAAGTATAACAATGATGATATTAATAATGATAATAATAATAATGCTAACAATAAAAACAATAACAACAATAAAAACAACAATAAAAATAATAATGATGGGAAAGAGCAGCGGAGTGGCAGTAATATCGGTAGGCCTATAAGCCCAAGCAGACGAGAGAGAGAGCGAGACACGTGCCATCTTCTTCTGTTAACGAAGGAGAAAACTTCACACTTCCTTGAGATTAAAGCATGGCTGGAAATGACCCTATGTAGTGTCTCCTTCCTCCTTCCTCTCCTCCTCTTCCTATTTTCCTCTTTCTCTTCCTCTTTCTTTTCTCATTTTTCTCCCAACATTTTCCCAACCTCTTGTTTCCCTTCCCTTCCTACATTTCTTCTTTCTCTTCCTCTTTCTTTTCTCCTTTTCCTCCCAACATTTTCTCAATCTCTTTTTCCCTTCCTTTCCTACATTTCCTCTTTTTGTTCTTGTTCTTCCTCCATCTCCTTTTCCTTCTCCCTCTCCTCCCCCTTACCCTCCCCTCCTCCGTCCGTTCCTTCTTTTGACATCTCTTGCTCCTCTCACTCCCCCCTCTCCCCTCATCACCCCCCCCCCCTGAAGCCCTCGGGTGCGCTGATGTCCCATGTTTGTCAGGTAATGAGTTGCGGGCTGCCGGGGGGCGTGAGGGGAGCCGGTGGGGCGGGGGTGAGGGGAGCCGGGTGGGCGGGGGTGAGGGGAGCCGGGGGGGTGAGGGGAGCCGGGTGGGGCGGGGTGAGGGGAGCCGGGTGGCGGGGTGAGGGAGCCGGGTGGGCGGTGAGGGAATGACAGGGACAGGGATGAGGGTAAGAAAGAGGGGAAAGGGGGGTGAGAGTGAGGAGAAGGCTACAGCGTGGGTAAAAGGAGGATCAAGGGAGTGGGAGAGGGGATGAGGCTAGAAGGAGGGGAATGGGAGGGGAGGGGAGGAGGCTAGAAGGGGGGGAGAGGAAGAGGGAGAAGGCTAGAAAGAGGAGGGAGGGAGGGGAGAGCTGGGAGAAGGCTAGAAGGAGGGGAGAGGGGGAAGAGGAGGAGGTTAAAGGAGGGGGAGGCAGGAGCAGGTGGGGATCGGGTATTGGGGTGGAAGGGTGTCCAGGACGAAGGAAAATAGATAATAGAAGAGATATGAAGAGCTGGGGGGGGTTAGGGGGGGGAGGGGTGCTCATGAATCAAGAGGAAGAGGAAAGGATACGAAGAAAAGACGAGAGAAAAAAGGACAAGGAAGAGGGGGAAAAGAGAAAGAGAACGAAAGTGAAAGATAACCAACGAGGAAGAAAGTGAGGCAGAGAGAAACAGATAGACGGGAGATGGATGGATAGATAAATAAACAGATAAATAGATAGATAGGGAGATAGAAAGTGAAATTGAAAACATAATTAAATATCCAGCAACGAGTGAGAAGTTACAGATACACCCAAGAAAGCAATGATGCTGCAAATTTAATTACGAAACTTACTACACCTTTTCACACTAGTTAGTCCCGAGAAATAGTAATGAAAAAAGTTCCTACCTTGTAATATATAATTTCTAGACATCCCTAGGGGCAACAAGAGAAAGAAAGAAGAGAGAAAAAGAGAGAGAAAAAAACAGAAAATGCATGAAATACGCAATTATTCAGAATTCTTTTGTCTAATTTTAAGCAAATAGAATTGAACATAACATAGAAAGTTATTATAGAGGAGTTTTGACCCAAGGACTCGTACGAGAGAGCTATGGCGTATTCCCTACGTGTCGTACAAGTTAACTAGGTTAGGGAGGGTAGGGCATGCAAGGGGTTGCCACTTCCTACTATTGTCATTGTTATTTTCTCACTTTCATTGTGCTTTTTCCTACTTGTTATCTATCTTACCTATTTCTTTTTACCATCAGCCGTGATCAGGAAATAATCCGAAAATAACAACAACGATACTAGTTTAAAAATGCAAAAGGAAAAGAAATAAAGTAAAATATTGAGCTTGGAATACGAACTTAAACCCTTCCCAAACCAAAGACCGGAGACAAAAAAAAAAACAAAACAAAACTAAATAAAAGAGAAGCAAGAAACAAAACAAAACAAAATAAAAGAGAAGCAAGAAACAAAACAGAAAACAATACCCGAGCGAAAACAAACAGGAACAATAGAAACGGGAACAAAAAGAGCAGAGAGAAGACAGCGGTCAGAAAACAAGAGAGAAAAAGAGAGCGAGAGTTTTAAGCCGCTGCCATGGCTCCCTTGGCGTTGTTTAATGGCGAATCCGTTATTATTCCTTAATTAGTGTCCTTGAAACGTGACGGCGAGGATATGAGAGCGAAGGCACGGATGTGGAAGAGAAGATATAGAGAAAAAGGGCGAAAGAGAGAGGGTGAGAGGGAGAGGGAGAAGGAGAGAAGGGAAAGGGGAAGTGAGGGAGGGGAGAAGGGAGAAAGAGGAGAGAGAGAGAGAGAGAAAGAGAGAGAGAGAGAGAGAGAGAGAGGAGAGAGGAGATGAGAGAGAGAGAGAGAGAGAGAGAGAGAGAGAGAGAGAGACAGAGAGAGAGAGAGAGAGGAGGAGAGAAGGGAGAGAGGAGAGGAGAGAGAGAGAAGGAGAGACAGAGACAGAGAGAGAGGGAGATAGATAGATAGATAGATAGATAGATAGAGAGAGAGAGAGAGAGAGAGAGAGAGAGAGAGAGAGAGAGAGAGAGAGAGAGAGAGAGAGAGAGGAGAGAGAGAGGAGAGAGAGAGAGAGAGAGAGAGAGAGAGAGAGAGGAGAGGGTGAAAAGTTAATATGAGAATAATTTATAAAAGGGGATGGAAAAACGACATTTCTGTAAGAGCGAAAATAAAATAAAATAAAAGACATGAT